ACTACTACTAGTAGTATCTAATGGGGGTAACATCAGGCACTGAGAGAACGAAGAATGATAACTTTATCATTTACAAGAGGGCTACCGTACCGGTATCCACATGGAGTCTAAAGAAAAGCAAGACCTGGGTTCCACTCGACATCGTCGCCACGGCACAATGACCTCCTACAAGCGAACCAGGCATCTCTATTCTTGAGAAAGGCTCTAGCTTGCCAGTAGCTAGCCTAGCTTGGAATGACTGATCTTCAGGCAAACCGGCAAACAAAAGCAATCGGTATGTTCTCTGCGTAATTCCCGCCGAATCTGCTCTTAGCAAGGCAGCTACTAGAGTATACTAATGGAGCTACAGTTGCACAGCCATTGCTGGCTGGAGGGCAGCGATACAATACTACATGCTGATATTCTAGCCGTCTAGCTGGCTAGCGCTACCTGGTCAATCACTTCTTTCGTCGAGATTGCGAATTGCGCTGGCTGCTTGCTTTCGTGCCAATCGTGTAGGCGCGGGAGTTGTCGCCCAAACGACCCAGCCCCAAAAAACTTTGCCCGACCCATCTTTCGCATGAACTGAGGAACTTGGCTATGAAGGGGATGTGCCTCACAAGCCAAGATTCTTCAATCGAAAAACATATCGACTAGTACCAGCTGATTGTCACTAGCCAGCTAGCTAGAGCCACAATGAACAGATCCCCATATCCAACACCTTTACGGAGGTGGCGGGTGCTACCTTTATGGATTCAACTACTGGTGGCAGCCCTCCTGTGCTGTCTACCTACTCGAGCTTCGGAATCCTTGGAATCTGTGACCATTGACAAACCTGCGAGAGAAAACATCCCTGCGCATGTGCTGCCAAATTCGATTCTCGAGAACGGTGCTGCCGGGTTGACTTCAGCAGAAAGCCAAAGAGGGTCGAAGACCCTCCGACGGCAGTCATTAGTGGAATCCCAGCTTGAATATGGTGTTGAAACCGTCCAAACAGAAGAAGAGAGAGACCTACAGATTACTGCCGCTGTCCCGCGTGAGAATCTTCAAAGACGCGTCCAAGATGGCAGGCGTTGGCGAATGCATAGGCGCAAGCGGATGCGGCAGAGAAGACAGAGGATGCGAAAGCGATATCGGAGACGCCACAGATACAAGAACCGCAGCAAAAATAGCAGGGGATACAGAAAAAATAGGCCATTCAGAGCTCCTGAACGATGGAAAGGAACCGGGTTTCGTCAAGAAAGTTCAACAATGATGAAGATGAGTATGATGAACATGAACATGAACATGAACATGAACATGAACATGAACATGATGAACGGGCAACGAATGGGAGGAATGAACAAGATGATGATGATGATGATGATGATGAAAATGGGTGGCAAGAAGATGATGCGAAAGGGAAAGAAAATGATGGTGAAAAACATGGGGGGCATGAACAAGATGATGATGCGTCCTAACATGAAAATGGGGATGAACATGCAATTGACGGGCGCTACAGAAACGGACGGCAAAATGATGAAGTTGACTTGGGCGCGTGAGTTGATGGAAATCGCACTGTGATGGTTTGATACGTTCCACCATTCTCACTCTTTGCCCCCGTTGTTTCCTCCAGAACTTCGAGAAAGAAAAAAGAACATGGCACGAAGAGACGAAAAACGAAGACAACGCAGGCATCGAAGGATGAAAAGACGAAGGAAGTGGAAGCAACAGTATCTGGACCAATCACAACAGAGGCAAGTTGACACTCACGTCTACTATATCTACTATGGAAGCGACGAAGAGTCGTATTTTGCGAGCAACAGTACGGACGATTTCACGAATGACAGTGCGGATGATTTCACAAGTGACAGTGCGGACGATGTTTTGAACTAATGCTGTTCGCAACAAGTCCAGCTGGCAATTCAACAATTCAAGGTATCGAAAGGCGTTTCTTTCATGCAGCGTCTACTAAACCGGTAGATCCAGAGACTGGCCAAAAACCTTCTTGAAACAGTCACATGGCAATGAATGGGTGCGTAGCTCTACAACCGTGAGACAAGAACACCTTAGGTGGCAGTCTGTTTCAGATTCAAGGGCGAAAGTTACCTCAAGCTACGCTGTGCCAACATTATTATGATAGTAGGGCTAACTGCATCAGTTGCTTCACAGGAGTGCCTGAGCTGCTAGCTAGCTACTGTCGTTCTCTTTTGTACATGTCCTGCATGGCTGTGTCTGCTGGCAAGTGGATCTAGTAGAGTCCAATCAAAGTATCCACCTCGCTCTTGGTGCGTCTCTCGCTCTTGGTTTGATGTTTGTGCCTTCAACAGAGGAACCGTGAGAAGGAGAGTGAGGACGTTTTGGACTCACTCCGGCAAGCGGGCCAGTACCGGTACCAGAGACTCAGTCACGCACAAAGAGTGACAAAATGCAACCTTAACTCTATCTCAGTCGTATTTTGAAGTCACGTCTCAACTTCCACAACACCAAAAGGGTTCTCCGACGATACCAGGATGCTGATGAGATAGCACACAAAAGCAGCCCTTTCGTTCCGTCCACAAACAAACCATGAACCAGAACATCACAAAGGAGGGAGCCAAAATGGCGCTGTCGTTGTTTCCCGAGGGGGACACCAAAGAGTTCCTGGCCCAAACTGTTGCAGACTTTGCGGTTGGATGTGACATCTCCCCAGTCTTGTCGGAGCGTTTGACGCCGGAGTACATGTTTCAAAACATGGGTGGTCTTGACGGCCCGGAAGAAGGCGACCTGCAGAGATTGCAAAATGTGGAGGCGTACAAGATCGAGTTTGCAGAGGAAGACGCCGAGTTCGTCGTGGATCGTCGCTCCATCTACAACCCCCACCAAGAGAAGGCTGACTATGACGCAGCGGAAGACACCGAGCTCATCAATCAAGGCATTCAAGATTGGTTCAAAAGGAACGTATTTGAAAAGGGCCGTACTCCTGGTTGCGATCCCACGGTGGTGGAGGAAGCAGCGGCTAATTGCAAACAGCGATTTGGCATTGGACCCTGCCTCAAGTATGGAATCTTGCACAGTTGCGCGCCAGTACAGGATGCCCAACGTAACAAGACCATGTTCATTGAGTTTTACGGAACTCTTTTGAATGTGGAGCGTTATAATCGAGACTGGGACCGCACGTTCCCATACGTTCACTTGTGGGAACACGAAGAGCTACGCTTCCGGATGAGGGCCATCACATACTCGGATATACAATACCTTACGGTGCACATGCCTGGTTACGGATGATTTTGAACCTTGGCTTTCTCTGCAATCTAGATTGACCTGACTGTGTGTGGTCATGGCGCCTCGCTGTTGGGAATGATAGGTTTGACTTCATTCTTCTTGCTTGTAGCAACTAATAAACTAAGCCCAGCACAGCCTCACGTGGAGCTTGTTTGGATTTTAAAATTCGACGCAAAGATCCACTGCGTACGCACTGGGGTGTTCTATAACCCGAACTTTCCTATTACTTTATATTTGTCATTACTTCATCGAGCTCCCTGTTCGGCACAGACAATGCTTCTGCCTAGTTTTGTCGTGTTGATTGATTGATTGATTGATTGATTGATCGAGTGATTCGCTGGCTGGCTGACTGATGGATTGGTCGTGGAGACTACTGATATGTTGATTGGTGACTTGTCACAATGGATGTTTTCACAATTGGGGGGCTCGCCTACATACACAAAACTAAGACCACGGGAATTGTTGTTTTTCTTCTCTAGTAGCCATCTGATAGCTAGCTAGCTAGTGCTTCTCCAAGACGTTTTCGACAAACAAAGCCTTTCCTCCCAGTCGTCTCTTGTGGCACAACTTTTTGGGCAATCGCTTGGCCAAGGGGCACACGTCACGAACGCACTCATCCACCCGCTCCACAGCCTTTTCTCCGTGGTTGATGCAGAGGTACTTCATGAGGCACTTGGCCACGATCAGGCCACTCATACCCTTGCATTCGTCGATCAAATAGTTGTCCAATTCTCCCAATGATTTACCGCCACCTTTGGTGATTTCAATCACTCGATCCTTGCAGTCCTCCAAAATATCGTACACATTGCAGTGGGTGCTGGGGGCGTGCTTGGCGGTGGTGGTAGCGAAAAAGCTCACAAAGAGGGCAAGCAGGGCCAAGAAGGATCGGGAATACATAATGTGTTGATGGATGGATTGATTGATTACTTTCTGTTGCTGATTGGTCGATGAATTGTCGTCTGAAGCAAAGGAGACAAATTGAGATATTCCCGGAACAAACAATAAGTGAGATTTGCGTCTGGCTAGATGTAATCATTCCAACACATCAGCGACGGGTAGCCAGCTCCAACACCACAGCAATCCCTCCCCAAATAGACTAATTCATGTTCATTTCAACAAGAGCATCAGATTGGTACAGTACCGTACCCAAGAACTCACCTTACTCCAAATTGTCAGCTGTGTGGTTTGCTTGCTTGTGGACAGAAGATTTGTTGCTGGTTGTTGCTTCCTCCAAATCTCAATCGATGGATGCATTCGATTCGATTCACTCGACTAAAGTTGAATCTTGGGTCTTTGTGCCTCGCCAATGACCGGACTTTGCCCTCAATGACCCGTGACAACCTACGCTCTAAATCTCGGAGTCGTAGTTGGCTGAGACTCTCCGTTGGCCAGGTCCGCAGCACAGCCCTCCATGCTCCGCAGCTCAGCAACCAACCAACACCATCATCGAAGAGCAATGAGACAAGTAGCGATCAATCCAGACCACTCTGAGAGGCCCAGGAAGGGTGTTGTCGGGTGTTATGGAGTCCAGAGTCGGTAGACTCTACTCATCATGGCTCAGTCTCATCTCATCACGTGTTGTTTTTCAAAATTATGTCAGCTCCGCAGCAACCAGCCCTCCAAGCTCCGCAGCTCGGCAAACCAACCAACAAAACCGTCCAGGAGAAAAAGAGAGAGTAGCTATCATCCAGACTACTCTGAGAGGCCCAGGAAGGGTGTTGTCGGGTGTTGTCGGGTGTTATGGAGTCCGTGCATCAAGACCTGGAGGCACTTGTTCGTTTCATTCAGGCGAAGAAAGGAAATGACAAGCGAGTCTCGCACTGGTTCATGGTCACGAAAAGAACGCTTACATGTTCGAACTCGCCATGTGCCACTTGCATCTCGGTGGAATTCAGCGCAACGCGACGATGAAATTTGCGCCTTGAATACGCGAGAACAGATTGCCAACGGCGATTTGTCTATCGCAAGGTCAAGGACGTCTGCATGGAAGATGCGCACCCGTAGAAGTAGATCAACAACCAACAACAACTAAAGACGTGAGCAATAGAAAAAGCTCAACCGTCGACGACAACAAGATGGCATCCGATGCCACAATCACATGTGAAGCAGCGGTGGTTCCCACATGCACAGCAATGGTCCCGTACGTTCAAAAGTGGTACGTGAAACACTTCAAGATGAGTGTGCATGGACAAAACCATTTGTGTTTGGAGATGCGAATGAGATGGGTGCTACTTGGAGTGGTACCCAACGACATTCTCGCAGCATTGATGAAGGATGGAGGAGACCTTGTCAAGGAATTGATGTGGCGGCACAACACACTACGATTAGAGGCAGGTGTTGCCTCGGACGATACGGATTACGAATTCGTGACTGGCGAAGTGGTAGCTGAAGAACCACTGGTCGAGGTCGAGGAACAACAACAAGTTGATGCTGTTGAACCACTGGTCGACAACCGAGTCGATGAGGAGGACAATGTGGACACAGCACAATCAACTTTGCGACGATCAAAGAGACACATGGCGGCGATTGCATCTCAGAGAATCGCAGAACAAGTCAAGACAAAGCCACGGCAGGTGGCAATTGAACAACCTACTAGAATTAAACGTAGACGGGCGGCGGCCACCAAGAAAAAGTCGACAAAGCCAAAGGTGAAGGGCAAGGGCAAGAAGAGACAACCTGTGACGGACACACAGCACAAACAACAGTTCAGACAACAACTTTTTCTGGACGGCAAGTCAGAAAGCCTGACCGGTACATTCCAGTCTAGGACAACAGGTAAGTAAGGGGGGCCGACGGATTGGGGATACTAACACAATACAATACACAAGAGCAAGCATCTGGTGGGGTGCAGGGCTATACAACAATTTGGTCGAGATGAATACAGTTGGTTCAATTGAAGGGTCACATCGAAGGTAGCCAGTTTGTGGTTCCTGTGCTAGGCAGCCTCTATTGCAGAGTGCTTGTCCGAACGTCCTCCACGCGACGAAAGTCCAAAGTTAATACCCGTGACACCTGACAACCAACCTCTATCATTGTTGATGCTACAATCTTATACAAACAAACATAGACGTAGAACAATAACACATAGTAGACAAATCTTTACCAACAACAACAAAATCATGGCTTCATTCTTTATAGTGGTAGTTGTAGTCGTACTAGCGCGTCATTGTAGGGCAAGCACGGATCCTTGTGTCCTAACTAAGTTGTCCCGGTCGTGTCTAACTTAGTCACTTCCAACCTTTCAGCTCTCCTCTCCATGCAGCTCCTGTCACTTCCTCGATGACGGATTGCAGACTCGACTATAGACTCGACTCGACTCACTCGACGCTGCCAAACATATGACCACGCGGGCAACCATGCATGGTACCGAACAACCTGATGTTGTGCATTGGACTTTGGAAGAGATGCAGCAGCACGGTTGAAGGACCCATCTTTGTAAAGGTCTTGTGGAGGCTGGGCACGTATCGATAGTACATGTAGTCAGTCAGAGTTTTTTTTTAAACGATATCATACGCTGTGGCTCGAACGAGTGACGAGTCTACCGGTAGCTAGAACCGAACGAGCGAAGATGCCCCGCAGGGCAAAATTGGGTTTAGTTCACTTGACTTCGAGCCCTTTAGCGTCCCCAGCCAAGCCAGCCACAAAGCCAAAAGCCAGCAAAGGTAAGAAGAGGAGCTTTTGCATCAGCCTCGCCCACCCCACGTCCACCGATTCTTCTGAAACGAAAGTTCCCTGCGGAGTCCCTTTTTCTTTTTTAAACAAGTACCATCACGACAACAATTAGAGCCAATATAGCAAGGCGGTAACCCCGGTGACGCCAAGAGCCACTGTTGGTTCTTTGGCCGTTGTTGCTGCGGCGGCGAGTCCATCCTCGCATAGAGCGCTTGGATTTGGATTTGGATGGAATCATGTTCTTCCATTGGCGAATGGACGACTGCGCGTCCTGGATTGCCGTCATGCCGAATATCTCCTTCATCAACTCCACGAGGGCAGTGTTGTCGTACAGGTCGTCGATAGATAGAGGTCGACGCGTCACGGGGCTGGTACCATGTTCCTCGATCCACGCAACAATGGCATCTTTCTCATAGGTGTTTCCATCGGGGTCAATGGTTGGCTGGCACATGAGCCCATGGGTAATGGGGCAGTAAAATTCATCTGGAAGCGATGCAATCCCTCGTGACGAAAAGGCTTGCTCGATGCTTCGTAGGGATTGAAAGATAGGAGACCTGCCAGATCGACGAAAGCCCCGTAAGGATTGTCGAATGGATTTGCGGCTCTTCTTGTCCTCGCGTGCCTTTTGTTGCAGATCGCCAATGCAAGCCTTGAGAGCACTAAAGCATTCTTTCTGCTGAATGCATGCCTTTAGAACCCGATTTGGGTAGAACTCTCCATCGGTTGCAGCCTCAGCAGTCTTCTCGTAGGACTTTCCATCAGAGCCGACGACTGGGTCTTTCATTATTTCGTTTGTGATGGAGCAAACGAAGGCCTTGGGAACATCCAGCAGTTTCGCCTCCTGTGTCGTTTTGGATTCCTGCTCATCTGTTTGGTCAGGTTGATTGTCTTTGTCTTTTTCACGTTGTAGCGAAATGTTGTCGTCTATGGTTGGGACCTCAAGTACCATCTTGAGGGTACCCTTTGTCTGTTTCCTTGTCGTCTTGGCTGCTAAAATTCGTTGGTTTTTGCTTGAATTGTGAGCAATGACAGCCAGCTGATGTACGTGCAACGTGGTACGAAATCACGTTCGTAGCCCATTTTACCATCTCAAACGCACGGGAGATGGATTGTCACCGAATCCTTGTTTTAGAAGATGGGGTAAAGTAGACTATATTCCCCAGTTCAAATTGAAGTTCCGCCTCTATGTATTGATGAAGAATTTTTGCAGTCGGGTTTCCTCGCCTTGCGACCTCGCGAGGACTTGTTGGGACTGTTGGGACCACCAAGCTCCATCCATGCGAACGCAATGCGTTTGCGGTAGATGCGTTGCATGGTACAGGGCACATTCGAGGACTCATCTGGACTCTGGGCAAACATGGGGGCGAGCAAGCAGCAAGTATGACGAGCACACATTCCGAGCTTGCCAGTCGTGATGGAGCTTTGCCCAGAGCTGCAGATCTTTCGGTCCGTTTTGGCTTTGCTGGGCACACATCATACATTCTCGAGAAAGAGATAAAAGAGAGATAAATTGACTGATTCCCTCCGGATAAGGACCTTGAAGCATAGACTGATAAAATGCAGATTGCTTTCTCCTTTTTTGCCTTGTTCCTTGCTTGCTTGTCAAGCCCCACCGACGCTGGAGACGAGGAGTTTAATGAACTTCAGTGGAAACTTGAAACGGACGTTTTGGAGCTTCGAACGGCTGTTGAAGAGGCGTACTTGAGTCGTTGCGACCCATCGACCTTACAAAGCTGTCAAAGGGGCAACTTTGATGCCTGCGATTCCTCATTTCCCAATCCGGTATGTCCTGTTGGAGAGGACTTTTCGTTGCAAGTTTGCGCCGATGGATGCTCTTCCAAGTACGACTATTCCGTCTCGACTGTTTCGTTCCCTCCGTTCCCTGGAAGTCGAGATGATCCGGCAGTCCTGCAAGATATCTGCTTCTCGAGGAAGCTTGATTCCTATTTCGTCAACAAGTATGAAGCTGACAAGAGTTTCTGGGATAAGTACGGTATCGACGTCCCTTCCATGCATCTCGGGATGACAACCGGAGCCTTCCGCATTTATCCTGCCCGTGCCAATGAAACATGCAATGCCTACGATCCCAGGGTTCGGCCTTGGTATGTAGCTGGTAGCAGTGGCCCTAAAAACATCATTCTGTTGCTGGACACTTCGGGATCCATGGACGGCATCCGCCTCTACTACCTCAAGCAAGCGGCTGCGCGCATCATCGACACCCTGACCGTGGGAGATAGAGTTGCATTGGTTCCATTCAGCACCAAAGCGCAGCCAGAATACTTTGACGGAGAAGCCCTCGTGAAGGTAGGTGATTTGCGTGGTGAGGCGTGAGTGGGGTATCGTGTCATCCTCACTTGTCTGTTTGTCTGCCCCAACAAGGTGACTGCCTCTATGAAAGAAGAGCTACAAAAGCGGCTGGCTGCGCTTGAGGCGATCGGTTCAACCAACATTCACGATGCGTTTCGTCGTGCATTTCAAGTCATGGAAGATTCCATTCCACTTGAAAAGGTAGTCGATTGTAACACTGCAATCATCTTCCTCACGGACGGAAAGATGACCGACCCACCAGATGTGACCGAGGAATCAGTTTTGGAGTTTGTGTCAGATGGCCTGCTCGAACTGGAACAGCGCCTCAAACACCCTGTATATCTCTTTACCTACAGCGTTTCGGAGAATGATGACGTTCATACCTTCCCTAAGCAGCTTGCGTGCAGTGCAACAGCCAACGGGATCTGGTCGAAAGTGGTAGATGAACGCACCATTGTCGATTCCTTGACAAGCTACACCAATCTCTTCTCGCTTGGCTTAGGCGAGGGAAGGAATGACGACTTTACGGCATGGTAAGAAAAGGAAATAGGATATCGCACCCTTAACGACGGGCATCGTGATGACAGCACGCGACTAACATACCGGTATTGTGGTTCCCCACAACTCTAAGGGTTGAGCCATACATTTTCTCTACTCGGGGAGTTCCTGGAGTAACGGTCTCTGCGCCAGTGTTTGATCGAACTGTTAACCCTCCAGTGTTGATCGGAGTCGTTGGGCTGGATCTCTTGGTTGAGGCTTTGGACCGTGCGCTGGGAGTGGAAACGGGAAGCAGCAAGACGTACGACAGGATTGTGCTTTCGTCGACGGCCAAGTAAGTCTTCGGTGGCGGTTGTGCACTCGCAAGGGAGGATCGATTGACATGTTTTGCCTGACGCTCGACTTGGCTTGCTACAATTCAAGATGTCCTCGACTAGCGACTTCGCAGTGCCACATGGAAGCATTTCGCTCTTTTGGCATTTCGGGAGATGATGCTCGTTGTGGAGGCGCATCAAACTGCTCCACAACGGTGGACATCTCGCTTGCTCCTGAGGTTTGCAACAATCGGGATGACCTCCCTTCGATCATTGTGCACAACACAGACGTGGAGCAGGTATCCTTCATTGAAAGAGCTTGTTGTACTGGAGGAAGCAATGGTTTTGGAGTGGTCCAGAATGATACCTGCATTGCCACCTCGTTGTCAATGGAAGAAAAGAGCAAGAATATCGGAGCCATAGTTGGATCTGTGGTGGGTGTCCTTGTTGGAGTGTCAGTGATGGCATACGCTGTTGCTGCCTCGTGTCGCAAGGCCAAACTCGAACGCGGGGACTCGGTCCCTGTCGCCCAAGCGATGGCTGTCCATGATGAGGAGACTGAAGTAACCGCGGTCACCCCTCCCACCAATCCGAAAGCCTCTGCTCCTTGTGTGCTAAATGCCGAAGCCTGAACATTACACTCGAGTTTAGATCACCGAAAAAGATGAAGAAGAACTGGAACACGGCTTCAGTAGCATTGAAGCCAGCCTGGAAATAATGAGCAACGTCCGTTGGAGCGGATGATCAAACGAATAAGTATCTAGATATGATTTTACAAATTCAACACCTGGATGCTTCCGGATTTTGTTATCAATGATGATTCTCGTCGCTTTCACGCATATCAAACTACAGGTAGTACTGATGTCGTGGAATAGCTAGCTGGTTGGGCACTACATGTGATGATTTCATTGGGAGACCAATCGAACATTCTCCCAGTGAGCTGGTGCTTGGTTAGTAGGCTTTGCCAGCCGACACCAGCCTCAAGTAGATATTGAGTCTAAACATGTATACATATGAAGCATTGGTTCCTCCTGGTTGACAATGCTCCAACTACTCACAGTTGTGGCAGAAAGGCCCACCTCTGGAGAGATCAGGAGATGTCCAGTTGGGACAGGAAGTATTCAGAAAGATCCCATCGAGCTTGACATTGTGCATAAGCAAGGCTCCCCATTCACAGAGGTTCTGATTGAAAGAAATGGCACCCATAAAGGCCCACCTCAAGTCCACAACTTTGGAAACATTCCATCCAGAAATGTCCTGATTGAATTCAGAGGCACCAGTGAATATCTGCCTCATTTGTTTTACTTGAGAAACATCCCAAGCATTCATAGGAAAATTGTAACCGGGTACGTCTCGGAACAGGTTGTTCATGTTTGTAACCTTGCTGGTGTCCCATCCAGACAGATCTTGGTTGAACAGTGTAGCTTTCATGAATGTGGCCTGCAAATTTTCAAGACTGCTGGTGTTCCAAGCAGAAATGTCCTCATTGAACATTGATGCCTCGTCTGAAAATCTTTGGAGAGAAGTAACTCTTTGGATATTCCACGTGGAAATATTGACCTGCTGAACAGTGCTCTTCTGGAACATAGCTTGAAGATTTATAACCTTGGAGACATCCCATCCACTCAGATCCAATGGTGGGGCATCATGGTTCCATCTGGTGTCCTGAAAGACTCCTACCATCTTCAAGGCACTGGATGTATTCCAGTTTTGGAAACCCCAGTAAGAAGAAATGTCATGGACACCAGCAAACAGGTTCCTGAAGTCCCAGATACTGGACACATCCCAGTTTGAGATATCCGTGGAAATACCTTCATCACCCATACCAAGAAGAGGCTCAAAAGCACTTTCAAGGCTCTTCAGCTCAGATGAAAAGCACCAGTTCCCTATAGGCCAACCCAATCGCTGTGCCACCAAGGAGTCTTGACTGCTATCATTAAAGTATGCGAGTATTGCATCCCTTAGTACAATGGTTTGGTCAATACATGATCCATTAGGCAAATCCTGCACCAGTGATCCTGGGGGACCAGAGCAGTACGGTACATTACAGAAGGACCACCTGGGTCGAGGATGAAGCGAACAAGATTGATTAGCATGTACCTTGATAGATTGGAAAGCTCTGTAGAAGACAAGGCCCTACATACCTAATTCCAATATCTGTAGTGTAGCACCAAGTCCTGGATTCCCCATCTGGGTTTCGGCTGTAATGAAATCGTAGCATTTGAACGTTAGATTTGCCTTGCTGGCAAGTGCAACCTGCATCATCTCCACGGTCTAGCTAGCCTAGCTATAGCCTGTATAGCAACTTACCAATAGTTTTCTTCCAAGCCAGAGTTTGGGTGGTTTGAAGGTGTCTTGGAGTGAAAGTGAGGTATTTGTACATCCCAGCGTTGACATGGCACACCACCTACTGTCACATTGATTGTTCCTCTGTAGTCAGCCTGCCTCTGATTCTGTGATCCACAAGTTTGATACTCATTATGTACAGGTGTTGTTGATCCAGAGGAAGCACTAATGTTGCCACCACTAACATTTGTCAAGGACAAGTTGCTGTTGGTAGTGTTGGCTCCACCTCCTGCAAGATTATTTGGGCTGGGAACAAGATCTTGGTCGTCCTTTCCCCCCTCGTTACCCGCAATCATGGCTACCAAAACAATCAGCCCAACAATGGTGATGGCAGCAACCACCAGAAGAAAATGGGCAGTTGTGGGTGTTTTTTCTGGTGGTGGTTTTGCCGCGTCTTCTTCAACTGCCACCACCATGACATCTCCGTCATCAGATTTTGCATTGCTCACACCCTCCTCCACATCGCCATTCGTGACGACAAGCTCAGCCTCAATAAGCTGCTGTGGAGCACCAGCGGCAATGTTGGAAACAATCCCTTGATCATCCTCAGATGGTGGTGGGCCCGTCTCATTAAAACTTCGATCTGGCCGAGGGACAAAGCGAATCCTCGATGACAAGACGGCATAGGCACTGGAGCATTATCGTGGCTACCAGCATTACGTTGAAGGGGAATTGGTTGGACACTAGCCGCAAGGCTCTCATCAAGGCTGTGTATTTCAGGGTCTGAATCTGTGGTAGGACTTTCACTAATGGTGGTAGGTTCAAGGGAGCTTGGTTGGCGGCCCTCAGCAAGCTTTTCGTCGTTGGTAGGACCAACAACGATTGATCCCTCTTTCGCCATGTCCACTTGAGTAAGCTCATCGACTGAAGGACCCAATACCGATTCCTTGCCGGGCTCTCCTTTAACGCCGTGTGTAACGCCGAGATCTGATTTCTCATCCAGATTGCCCGTTGCCCCGGGGCTACCCTCACTCATTTCCAAATCATTTCCACCTACCGTTTCCCCGCTGTCGGTATCTTCCTTTTTTACAGCTGCTTCTTTTGGCTCGTCTACCATGGTAAGTTGGAGTGGTTACCTGATTGATAGGATGTTTTGTTGTTCAATGATTGAGTGACAAGTCAAGTCTCTGAAGTGGGCGTCCTCTCTTCGTGCTGGATCGAGCGGTCTAGCTACCAGGCAGAAGACTGGTTCCATCATCCAACACGGGTTCCATCCAGAGAGGTCCCAGGAATACCACGGAACAAAGTACATGTAAATCGGTTCTGGATCGGCACTGGAATCGGCACTAGAATCGGCACTGGATCGGCACTTGATTTGAAATCAAATCCTCCCCGTGAAAAAGCATGAAACACCATCACATCAAAAACAAGCCATTACCCATCATTTTTTCTTGTCACACCTCCCTCCTCTGAAGTAGATGTACCTTGTCACACTTGTAGCCACATCTAGAAGATACCCCCAATACCGACATTGTTAATATCGACGTGCCCGTCGCAGCCATTCTATCTAGAAAGCCATTCGGTGGCTGTGTAGTTACTCAGTGGCTAGCCAACTGGCAGTTGCCGTTTTCTCTTGATTTTTGACTTTCTGGCATCAGTGGAAGTGGTGAAAGCCATTTCCCAGGCCCCAACCTCCATTGCCTTTCATAATGGCACCACCCATGAAGCCCAGGAAGCCCAAGGCATCCACATCTACCCCTGTGATACCTGCCAAAAGGAAGAAATCGACGGTGGATTCCCAAATTGAATCAACCGTCTCGATCCACAAAACCAGCCGAGGGCTCACTCAAGCACAGAAGAAACTGAACGAAGGCATTGAGCTGCTACGTTCCAAAGATAAGAATCTCAGCAAGGCCAAACGAAGCAAGATTCTAACCGACATGGTGGAAGTTCAGTCATATTTGGGGCAATGCGCTGCTAGTTTGAACAAGGACGCCAAAATTGTTTCTCCTATTGCTGGACTCGACTACGGGCTAGCCAGAATGGCCACCGCTGAGAAGAATAGAAATCTAAAAGCTATTCGTCTTGGTCTCATTGATAATAAGGAGAATGACGATCCACAAGTTGCTGCAGCCAAACCTCCCCCGAGAAAGGTATCGCTGCCTTCTTGTCCCCTTCCAAAGGATGGGATGGAGTACACTCGCCTTGAGTTCTTGCAAATCATTACTGCTTACCCCAGTCGATCTGATGCTCGCTCCAGCATCATGAATGAGGCCGTGGAAAAGAAATGGGTCCCGGTTCAGCCACCAGCAATTCGGAAAGCAATTCGGAAATTCAATGATCATCTGAGCTCGGGTGGAACGATTAATACGTTTCCTGATCATCCTTGGTTTGCGGCCAAAGGTGGCAGACCTTTGCTTGATATGAGTGATGTATTCAATGTTTCTACTGGTTTATCCACCAATCATGGCAGTTCCCTTGGATACGAGCAAATTGAATCTGTCATTACTACAACAACAAAGAAGAAACTGGAAACAAATGGCATATCTGTTCTACGAAATGAGGCTGTTTCTCCCTGTCGAAATACAGTGTCCAACTATGGTGGAGCTTTAGCTTTGCTTTCTGGTACCAGTTGTACTGCTTCCAAGGTTACCAACAAAACTCCCACCAGAGAAACGGCCGAGAACTCACTCCGTTCCAGTCAAGCATTTGCTGCTGCTGTTGGCACCTCTCACTACATGCCTACAGAGATCGAGTATCCAGAGGTTAGGACATATCTCAATGAGAAAGCTACAGACTCAGAAAGACATGTCTATAACACCATCAGTATGCTCCACAAGGGTGGCCCTCTGTTGCCGGTTAAGAAAGCTCTCATTCTGTCTTCCGATGATACAACTGAGTGGATCGTAGAGGGTTTGAACAGAAAGAATATCGATAAGGTTCGATTCACTCATAGCTCATCTTACAATGGCAAGGGTACTCGATCTGTCTACCGAACTACCAATGAAGCAATGGCAACTGGAATTCGAGTGAAACTCAGTGTTACAATGACTGCTGCTGGTTGTACAGCTCCATTGTTTGTGTCCATCACTGGATTGAGTGACAGAGAGCTCATTGATCAGGACAACAACGACTCAGGTGTCCTGATTCTTGAAATTCCGGGTTTGTGCATTGGAGGAGGCGGTGTCACTGCTGGTAATCGGGATATTGGATATGTTGTCTTTGTAAGGAATAACAGAGACAAGCAAACGGATCGAGTCAAATATGAAGCATACACAGATAGAGTGCTCATCCCATTCATTAATCAACTTCGAAAGTTGCAGCCAGGAATGCCTCTTACTGAAGATATGAGAGCTGTGACATGGTGTGATGGAGACCTTGCCCAACTAGCAACAAATGTTGATGAGGGTTTCATTCAAAAGTTCAAAGATGCGAAGATTTGGGTTTGTAAGCAATCAGCTGCCCGAACTGGCACCGAACAACCATGTGACTTGTGTCCTGGCTTCAAAAGCATACACTTTCAACAAAAGAATTTCACAATGCAGGATGTGCCTAGAGGTGCTGATGATTGGAAAGATGAGGTTGTGGAAGTCATACAGAAAGCTGATTCACTTGGGCTGAATCTGCCAGACAACAAGCTGAAGGCCATAGCTGAATTCATTTGTGGATTGCCTCAGATTACACTCACGGCTATAACACCCAGGATTGTTAAGCATGGCTTCTACCAAAATGGCACTCTGGCTGAGCATAACAGTGAATCCAAATATGCATTTCCCAACCTTGACCGAATGATTTCTACTTGCAGAACAACAATTCCCACAACCCTTAGGCAGAAATGCTGGGATGACTATCCTAGGTTGGCTGCTGAGTGTATGACTCATGGGATGGTCCCTGAGTCAGTTTTTGACGAGCTAGGGTATGACATGGATAAAAACCCAGATGGAATAGAAGTGCCCAAGCATCAGGGGATTTCTCAGGAGCACAGACAGAGAGCCAAATGCCTCACACATGAAGCTCAGGTTGAGCTGAGGCAAGCCAAAATGATAGCAGTGGAGGCTGCTTTGACAAGAAAGTTTAGTGAATGCCTCACAAAGCACAAAACTTTGAGTGATCTTAACAAAGAGTGTGAAGCCAAACTACAGGAGCTTGTTAATGATCCACAAGGTCTTTTGGGTCCTGTTGAGCCCACTTTGCAAAACTTTGGAAGCATTACTGCCCCAAGGCTGAAAGCCTTCATTCATGTGAGAACCTTCCCTACTTATACTACTGATAAAGGACCCAAAGACTGGACTGGGTGGCCTAAGAAGTCATCGGCGGCTGAAGCTGCCAATGGAGATCGATGTTTGGTGAGACTTGCTTATGACTGCAGAGACAAACCTTGTATTATGCAGAAGCCAGTCAAACCAGTAAAGGCAATGCCACAGCAGCTCAGGCATCTATCAGCTACAATTATCAGATCCAGCACATTGACATTTCATTCTGATGCGTATCCACTGGCTTCTTCTCTTTTGGCAGATGATACTTGGAGAGTCAAACTCATTGCTGCCTACCGGCTTGATAGTGAGACTACAGTTACTATTACAGAGAGCAACCTTGGGAGGGCTGACTACCTTCAAAAGAGGCTCATCAAACGGCTGGAAGTTCATGTGACAACCAAGTTGGAAAAGTCAGAGCACAAAGAGAATTGGTGTTGGAATCTAACTGCCAGTAAGTTGGGACATGTGTCGGCAATATTGATACTCTTTGGGTATGTCAAGGATGACCTGGAATGTTTGGATGAAACAGCATGTTTCCTACTTGACAATCCTGCTCTATTCCGTTTGGTCACAGAAGAGTTTGAGGAGGATGGTGTATACATGTACTGGGATACCAACAATATGCAGTGGATTAGGGTCGGCATGGTAGCTCTTCGCAGATTTTGGCTGCGATTTATTGAGCACAGCAAAATGGCGCAACTCAAAAGTGGAGAATCAGGAGCATTCTATAATGCCTATCCCTCCAAATATGCCAAGAAGACTGTTGACCCTGCTCTACGACGAGGTTACCATGAGAATCTAAGGCAATACATCGCATTGGGCTATCCACTAGCCAAAGATGTGAAGGATCTTGTAGATGTGTTTGGTCTCAAGGCAGCAGACAATCGGTGGATCAAATCAATGCGCTATAGGACAAAGAATGGACAAGCTATTCAGCTGGCTGATCAGCAACGCCGTGCGCTGCATTACCTTATGGAATGTGGGTTGAAGCTTTGTCTTGCTCCTGCTTGTGACATTTCTGTAAATGCTGGCTGGGAACAAGCAACTGGATGCTATGGCAAGGATTAGCTATCTAGATAGCTTTTAATGTTACTAGTTGTAGTATTGACAGTGAAGTTGAAACTGTTGCTTATTGTTTTCCCTGCTGAAGCAGCTGCTGTAGAGCTAGCTAAAGGGACAAAAACATTCTTAATAATGAGGTCAATTCGGTTCCGTAACCGGTGTTGTGACTGGTAGCTAGTTGGGGCGACCCTCTGGTACAGCAAGCTGAAATAAATCAAAGCGAAGTCCGAAAACGCCAGTCGAGGAACTGCCCTTCAAACTCCTTACTATTAATAGATAGAGCAATAAATCACTTAACACAAGCCAGGATATAATAGGAGAACAAATGTAACAACATCTTTAATGCTGTGAAGGGCATTGCTGTTCACACTGGCCAAAAGAGGATCCTCCTGTCACTTGTGAAAACTAAAGACCAGACCTTACTTTAGTCGCTCCGGTAGAGACCGGCCTAATTGCGTGACACGTCTGTGTTTCGGAGTTTCCCTACCGGTACACTATACTCTAGGCGCTCTACTAAGTCTATTCTCGTCACCATCTAAGTGTTCCCTTTGTTACAAGAAGATACTATCAATAGTAAAGAAAATCAGTAACGAAATTGGGAAATTGGGCAAAAACAGCTGCAAAACTCAGACAAAATAAATCAACCATTGCTACAATGTTCCAGCATTCCTTTGTTCCCGAAAATGACCTGTGGTAGCGATTTATGACTATCCAGTTACCAGATTACTAAAATCAACCACACACACACAACAACTACCAAGTAGTAACACAACACTATAGCAACCTCTTTATCAACACCACCATCAGCCTTTTTCGGCTTATCAGGCGTGGAAGCTACTACACGATCGATAGGAGAACAAGCAAGCAACGACGATCGTTGCGAGCGACAAGAAGAAGAAGAGCCGTTCGTTCGTTCGTTCGTTCGTTCGCTCGAACGCCATTGTCGAGGAAGATACCGTTCGAACGACGACGAGAAGAAGACGACGCGACGCTACCGTTCGTTCGAAGCGACGCCATTGTCGCTCGCTTGTCGAGAAGAAAGAAGAAGAAGAAGAAGAAGGAGTTTGTTAATCGTTCAAACGTGTCGACGCTACCGTTCGACGTGAAGATACCGTTCCTTTCGAAGCAGCGCCATTGTCGCCGATTCGAAGCTACCGTTTCGGAGCTACAGAACGACAAGAAGAGATCCTCATTGCCAGTGCAATCGGCAGAGGAACAAGAGAAGAAGAGAAGACCTCCAAGCGGCATAGCAACAGAAGACCTCTCAAGAAGAAGGGGCACTCTCAAGTGGAGCGAGAGATAGAGACTTCCAAGTGGGAAGCAGAGGTTTGGACTTGGAATATTGATCCCTCCAGTCTGGATCAATTCCTGCCTCATTGTCACCAAAGAAACCGGTTGAGCCAAGGAGAGGGGACGCCTGATCCAAGAGTTTTGGCCTAGACTGCCACAGACTGGGTGTGCAGAGCTCATTCCGTGGAATACAGCCTTACTTGTCTGGGTGTGTACAGTTTGCTGTTGGAATAGGAGCAGAGAAGAAGACCCAACACTGTTGCTCATCCAAGTGAACCGCAAGAGAAGAAGTAATTGGAGGCGAATATGGCAGGCATCTTGCAGCCATGAACAACTATCTCAGAATACCATCGGTATTGCCGAATAGCCACGAGGACAGCATTGAATGATCAAGGATTGGATGCCTTTGTCTCACTCGATACCTTTAACCGATGCTGATATCAAGAGCATCTGCGAGAACGTGAGGAAACCAGTGGTACCATTCCCAATCCAGCCATTGCGGCTGCAGCCACTGTTGAAGCTGCCGCAGCAGTCCAGCCCAGAGAAGTTCCCAATCGTGGACGACAGCTGGGATTTGTCTTTGAGAAGCGACTTAGACAACTACGGTTCTACAAGTTTCACATGACACGAATCCAGCGTGAGTTCACTCCAACCAAGCCAGTTTGGCGAGATTGAATAGAGTTTGGGCTTTATACGAGTCCGAAAGAGAAGAGATCGATGTTGCGGATCCTCCCAACTCTTGAAGGTCGAAGATGTCGACGAGTTCTGGAGTCTATTGACAATGTTCTGAATGTCAAGCGAGGCGTTTGCGGTGCCCCTCTGGCTTATGTTACGAGATCCAAGTCACTTTGCCAGGAGCACCTGATACCGACACTGCAGATGAGGCTGACCCAGGTTTTGGCCTTCCATCGCATCCTGAAGAATTGGTCCGAAGAACAAGACATACCGGACCTCATTTCGTACAAGACAATCAGGCTGTTTGGGCCATCATTCGGTCGGTTACTCACGGTGGACCTGGTTGGACATGGGTCCAACGCTTGCGCAGCGCAACAGAACGGTCGAGCAGCTTACTTGGCCATGAAGGTTCACTATCTTGGTGATTCGTTCCAGGCTCGTACCAAGGCATTCGCGGATAGAGCCATTGAAACTACTTTCTTTGATGGGAAGTCCCGCAACTTCACTTTTGAGCGCTACTGTGAAGGCTTACCAAGGCCTTCACAGATCTGGAAACCGCTGGTGAAACCTTTACTGAGAGTCGCAAGATTCGCAAGCTTCCGTCCGGCATTACAGACCCAAACCTACAAGACCGCCAAGTCCGTCATTCAAGCAACTCCGCATCTACGCGAGAGTTTCCAGGAGGCTATGAATTACTTAGCCGAGCAACTTGATGTCGCTGAACCCACTCACCCACAAGAAATATTTCATATGTGTCTGGCCGTGGTCGAGGCGTGGTGGAAGAGGACGGGACGTGGCGGTGGTAGATCCAAGGCCGAGGCTATGGAAGAGGCCGAGGCAGGGGACGAGGCCGTGGTCGAGGCCATGAAGGCCGGGGTTTTGACCCAATAACCCAGGAAGTATTACCATCCCGATGAGTGGGCTCAGCTCACATCGGCTCAGCAGCAACAGGCTAGGGACGCCCGCGATGGTGACAAGCGGAAGATTGCCGAGCTGCAGACACAGTTGACAGATACCCAGTCCCAAGTCTCGGAATTGCAAGCCGAGAACGATCCCGGACTGATGTTCCTGGCGTATCTAGCGTGGGCAATGCTATGAATAGGCGAGCATGAGTTCTGCTGTTCGCACTCTGCATCCGTTGCTACTCATTTGCCATCATCTCGGATTGAGCTTGAAAGCCATGCCGATACATGTTCCTTTGGGGAAAGTGCTTACGTGGTACATGACACGGGAGAGACTATATCCGTCGAAGGGTTTTCAACTGATCTTGGAACCATACACGAAGTACCAATTGTAACTGTGGCTGTGGCTTATGACGACCCACTCAAATCTCAAATTTATATTTTATTCTTCCATCAATCTTTGCTTATAAGTCATTACAGAACAATCTCATTTGTCCACTCAGCTGCGACATCACCAATTAGTTGTCAACGATGTGCACTGTTGCACCTACCGTTTTAAGACAGAACCAATGAATCCACTCCATCATTTGTGGTGACCTACGCATCCCACTCCAACTGGACGGTGTCATCTCATACTTCCAAGTTCGGAAGCCACCGCCCATGAAGTCAATTCTCCAGATCACTTTAGTTCACGTTCACATGACATCGAATCTCCTTGGAACCCTCAAGATCCCCCAGTCGGCTGACCTAGAGTCCTCTCTCAGAGCCGCTATTGGATTCGTACATGCCAAGATGAAAGGGGACGGAATAGGAAGAATTCAGTCGATCAGGTCAATTCTTGAAACAAGATCATCCGTTGCCAATTGACGTCAACAGTCTTGGGCCAGCCATTCAAGCCCAGATCTCTGCTACCAAGACGAAACCCCCTACCAGGAAAGGGAGCCGTGTCAGCGGAAGCACTTGAAAGCGGTGGAATATTGGGTTGGAAGCACGCAAGAAAACCATCGCGAACACAACTCAGCGAGCGGTTCGTGATTCACCCACACGAGTGGAGGGACGGAGGATGAAGACATTGGTATCAACTCAGATATCCTCGGCTCAACGTTGAAATGTAATACCGACACTGTATACGGCAAGGTCACTTCCCTCCTGGGAAACAAGTGTGCCCAGTTTACTGCACACCGTTTCATTTGTGCCATGTTGACCGATGAAGACCAATCGGAGTGCTCACTTGACTTTAGACTCACTTTTCCAGAAGATTGGATTACCAAGAGTCCTGATCCCAGACAACGCGAAGGAGCTTACCATGGGAGAGTTTCGACTAAAGGCACAACGAGTTCAGTGCACTATCCATCCAGTTGAGGCTTACACAACCAACCAGAACTTCGCGGCAGACCTAATCCGAGAGCTGAAGAGAACATACAGAAGAACAATGACGACTACTGACAGCTTGGAATGCCTTTGGGACATGTGTTTTGTCTTCTGCGGGCTGACTCGCAGTCACACTGCATTACCGATCTGAGAGTTGGATGGTCAAGTTACCGCTACTCTTTTGACAGGGGACACTGCTTACATCTCACATATTTGTGATTTTGGATGGTATGATTGGGTTGGGTACCTTTCTCCTGAGAGACAGGGCGGGTCAATGGAAAGGAAGCGCCTAGGTCGCTACTGTGGCCCCAGCACTGACATTGGGGACGCTATGTGTGCCCGAATCCTCACCGAGAAGGGCCAGTTGGTCTCTTGGAAAAAAACCAATTTTTTTGGTTTTTTTTTTTCATCCCCTTATCAGACCAGGAGAAGCTGATCCCGGTGATTGAATCCAAGAAAGCAGCATTCACAGAATCACTTAAGAAATCCCTTGGCAAGAGTTATGTTTTGGCCAGCAGAGATGATGCTGAATCTCGTCATGATGAAGAGATACCAGAGAATTATGAGCCAATTGATGATCGTGACCCAGCTCCTCTTCCAGAGTTGTCAGAAGCAGATGAGATGAAACATGAGGCCTTCGATAAGTACATTTCAACTCGTGTTTGTGTCCCACAGGGAGACCAAATGTCTTATGCCACAGTTCCACCAAGCGCCAGAGGAACTCAGATGGAAACCTGATTGGTCTTTCGAATTCTAACCCATTGCTTGATACTTCCCTTTATGAGGTGGAGTTTGACAGTGGCGAGACCGAGGCCTACTCGGCCAACATCATTGCAGAGTCTATCTATGCTCAGGTGGATGATGACGGCTACACTTTGTTTGAATTGGCAGATATCTTGGACCATGCGAAGGATGGACACGCTGTTTCAGGGGACGACGCCTACATCTATCGGAACGGCAGGAAGACTTTGCGACTGACCACCAAAGGGTGGAAACTTTTGTGTCAGTGGAAGGATGGGACCACCTCATGGCAGTCCCTTAAGGAAATGAAAGATGGTTACCTGATTCAGACGGAAGAGTATGCACAGAACAATGGCTTGGATTCAGAGCCAGCTTTCTCTTGGTGGGTCCCTTACACCCTCCAGAAGCGGAATCGGATTATATCTGCTGTCGCGAAGCGATACTTCCGCAAGGAACAGAAATATGGGGTTGAGCTTCCCAAAACGGTGGAGCATGCCCTTGAGATTGACAAGGAAACTGGTACAACCTTTTGGCATGATGCCATTAAGAAAGAGATGGCAGCCGTCGGCAAAGCTTTTGAGATCTTGGAAGAGGATGCCCCTGATCCAGTTGGACATACTCACATCCGTTGTCATATGGTTTTTGATGTTAAAAGTGACTTTACAAGGAAGGCACGTCTGGTCGCTGGGGGGCATATGACCGATCCACCTTCGTCCATCACCTATGCCAGCGTTGTCAGTCGAGAGAGTGTACGACTGGCCTTCTTGATTGCAGCATTGAACGATTTGGATATCTTGGCAGCGGATATTGGCAATGCATATTTGAATGCCCCAGTTCGAGAGAAGATCTTATCACATGCGGTAAGGAATTTGGCCCATTTGAGGGACGCAAGGCAAAGGTCGTCAAGGCCCTGTATGGCCTCAAATCAAGTGGAGCAGCATGGAGAGCCCACTTAGCTGATGTTCTGCGAGACAACCTGGGGTTCACCTCTTGTAAGGCAGACAATGATGTCTGGTTTCGTGCAGCCACCAGGCCTGACGGAAGGGAATACTATGAGTATATCTTGGTATACACAGATGATCTCCTTTGCTTGTCAACTAACCCAAATACCTTACTCTGCTACCTGGATCAGCATTTCCTGCTGAAGCCAGGATCCCTGGGAAAGCCAACTCAGTATCTTGGAGCTTCAGTCAAGGAGTACAATCTCCTCTGGCGTTGAAAACCATGTTTGGTCAATGGGTCTGAACACGTATGTCAAGGAGGCTGTCAAAAAGTGGAACATGGCTCGAGCGACGTGGGAAGACGCTCAAGTCGAAAGCAACTTCAGTGTTACAGCAATTACACCCCGGAGTTGGATGTTACAAACCTTTGTGATGACGAGTGGAAAAATTACTTTCAACAGCAGATTGGAGATGCTACGATGGGCCTTGGAACCGGGAGAATTGACATCTGCACCGAGTTTTCAATCATGGCTTCGTACTTGCAGCCCCACGAGTTGGGTACCTGGACGCTGTGTTTCTTATCTTGGCATATCTCAAGCAGCACAGTCGGTTCTCACCTTGTTTTTGATACTTCCTTTGTGAATCATGTGGAACCAGAGCGACCATGATCTGGAGTGATTTCTATGCACTATGCGAAAGAGCTTTTTCCCCCAGACATGCCGAATGCCTCTCGGAAACCAATCCAAATCACCATGTTTGTGGATTCTGACCATGCTGGGCACAAGGTGACACGTCTTTCGCTTACTGGTGTACTCTTCTTTGTCTAACATGTCTCAAATTATTTGTACAGCAAAAGCAGGGCTTCATTAAACTTCCTCCTTTGGATCTGAGTTCCGGCATGAAGGTTGGATCGAGATTGTGGAGGGCTTGAGGTACAAGCTCAGGATGATGGGAGTCCCTCTCGATGGTCCAGCTCATGTAAGGCGGACAACATGTCCTGATCAAGAACCGAGCATCCCGGAGTCTACTTTGAAAAAAAAGAGCAACTCGGTCGCATACCATTATGTCCGTGAAAGATCGTGCAGGCATGGCAAAAATCACATATGAGAATACAGAAGCAATTTGGCCGATATGTTACGAAGATCCAGAACGGGCTGTGAGACAGCGACTGGTTTCGAAAGTCCTCATACTAACAATCTCAAAAGGCAACATGACCATAGGGTGGGCCGTTTGGTGAACGGCAGGTCTGAGCCTCCAAGGGGCCATGCCCCAAGGGTACATCCTGTTTCAGACTTCCGAAGTCTGTTTTCCCATTTCAAGTGCAATCTAGCGTGAGATAGATCCCCCTCTAGCTTGAGGGGACCGAAAATGACCTGTGGTAGCGATTTATGACTATCCAGTTACCAGATTACTAAAATCAACCACACACACACAACAACTACCAAGTAGTAACACAACACTATAGCAACCTCTTTATCAACACCACCATCAGCCTTTTTCGTTCCCCTAAACAGCTGGACCAACATCAAAGAGGTATTGCAATGCCTTGTTCTACACCATATTAGTCAGAAAAATTGTTTACTACTTCAAATAAATAAACACCGTTCCTTTTGCATTATTTGCGACTTCTTGCAGCTTGCTTGTCAAAGCCAAGTATTGAAAGGGGCGAAATGCGAAATAGGCTGGAGATAATGTCATATGTTTCCCACACAATGCATACCCGTACTACCTCACAACTGTAGAAGGGCAACAATTAGTAATGATGCACTGACTTGAATGTTAGTTGATCATCAGGAGGTGGCAAGCTCAAGAGCTATATACATAATGATTCTTCGTACCAGTCTGGTACCTTGGCCCTTGGTCCTTGGCGTGTCTGCCTGTCCGGACCAGATCTTTTATCTTCGTACGAGGGAAGACTGTAGTCACCTCCAAAGGCGCAAAGCCTTGTTGGTTCCGAAAAATGTTGCTTGGAAACAATATCAAATAAATACCTGTATCAAGTATAATAGCTCATAACTATACTTAGTTCGCCCCCCCCCTTGCCGTGTACTACCGTACTACTTGTAGTACTCCTCCGTAAAAGTTATTTTCGCTAATAATAGCTACTGCTACAGTACGAGAGGACTGTCGGTGAGCGACTCGGTCACTCGAGTTAATTAAATTTAAAATTGTCATCAGATCTACCAGGACTTTTCTATGCGTCGGTAGGCGAGGGCACTCATGGCTCTCTGCTACCTGTAGGTACCACATACTGTGGCCAAGATGACCATGGCGACTCTTCCGGAGATTTTCACTCTGTGTGGCCACGGCGGCCTTTATCGCCGATGTCGACTTTGAACTGGAACCTACGTGTGGTGGTCTGGGCTGTGAAGGCAATCAGGCGACTTGCGATGGACAAATGTGCAGTGAGTGTCAAGGACTGTCACTCGGTGCTGCCTTTGACTGTGCCCATGTCGGTGGACCCGTTAAAGTATCCGATATCCGATCCTGTCGGCGATGATGGACCTGTTTCTCCTACGGACAATCTGGATCGATGGTACGTCGATGATGATGCCGAGTTTCTCGCCCAAGTTGCCGAAATGACGCTTCCCGAGGCATCCAAGGCTGCTGGGATTCCCATTGGAGCTGCCGTTTCCGATGGACTTGGTGGTATGACAGACTACATCCCAACTGAATACTAGTGTACCATGGCCGTCATGGAAAATGGCATGAAATGGAACAAACTCTTGGAAAACGTTAGCGTTCTCGGAGCATATGATTTTCCAATGCTGGTGAATTTGTCGATTATTGTGTGTCCAATGACGTCCTGGTCCGTGGACATGTCTTGATATGGGGACGAAATGTTGGCGTCGCATATCCCCAGGCTGTCATGGACCAAGTCGAGGCGTCCAGTTATCCCAATGCCACCCTTCTCGAGATCATGACAGAACATATCAATGCTCTCACAAGCCAATACGAGGGTAAGATTGCGGCTTGGGATGTAGTGAACGAACATTTTATGGGTTGGATCCGGCGCAAAACATCCTTACGGACTCTTGGGAGATGCCAACCTTTGAGCTTACAAAAGCAGCCTTACCCGAGGGTGTCAGTCTCGTCTGGAATGAAGCCATTGGCAATTTCTCCTTGGCAGATGCCAAAATCAGTGCCTGGGTCGACTTGTTGCAACGATACAAAGACGAGGGCGTTCCCATTGACGGCATTGGGGTTCAGGGACACAGCATTTCCAAACGTCAGAATCTTACAGAAGCCCGCGCCTTCCTCGAAAAAGTGGTCGAAATGGGTTACACCGTAGAAATTACGGAAGTGGACGCCCCCATTACAGTTTTTCTCGGTGACGACAACAACACGGATCCCCTCCAGGAACAGGCAGACTTGTTTGCAGACTATGCCAGGGTCTGCATCGAATTTCCCAACAAGACTTGCAAGGGCATTACCTTTTGGGGACTCAGTGATGCATATACATGGTATGATTTTTCTTTGCCGGTACGGCTCCCAATTTGCCTCTTTTGATTGACGAAAATGGCAACAAGAAACCTAATTGGTTGAGTCTAAGAAACGAGTTGAAGGCCCTAGCTGCTGGAGGAGAGACAACAGAAGAAGAGACAACAGAAGAAGAGACGGACGAGGGCACCACATCTGAAAATGGAGGTGCGGAGGACGACACGGAAGAGAGCGCTTCAACTTCTGTTGGAGGAAGGCCTGCCACCATGGGTTGGTTCGTTGGGGCCTTTGGAACAGCTGTGTGGATCGCTTCAAGCATTCGAATGACTTCCCTGTCCAACAGTGGTAGTCAAACGTTCAAATACCAGCAGCAAGTAGATATTGAGTCTATTAATGTGTATGCTAAATGCAGCATTGGCTCCTCCTGGTTGATGGATGCCCCAACTAATCACAGTTGTGGCAGAAAGGCCCACCTCTGGAGAGATCAGGAGTTGCCTTGTTGGGGCAGGAAGTATTCTGAAACATCCCCTGGAGCTGGATGTTGTCCGGAAGCAAGGCTCCCCATGCACAGAGATTCTGATTGAAAGAAATGGCACCGTGAAAGGCCCACCTCAAGTCGTTCACTTGAGATACATTCCATCCAGAAATGTCCTGATTGAATGCAGAGGCACCAGTGAATGTCTGTCTCATTTGTTTTACTTGAGAAACATCCCAAGCATTCATAGGAAAATTGTAACCGGGTACGTCTCGGAACAGGTTGTTCATGTTTGTAACCTTGCTGGTGACCCATCCAGACAGATCTTGGTTGAACAGTGTAGCTTTCATGAATGTGGCCTGTAAATTTTCAAGACTGCTGGTGTTCCAAGCAGATATGTCCTCGTTGAAAATTGATGCCTCGTCTGCAAATCTTTGGAGAGAAGTAACTCTTTGGATATTCCACGTGGAAATATTGACCCGCTGGACATCGCTCCTTCGGAACATAGAAAAAAGATTGCTAACCTTGGCGACATCCCATCCACTTAGATCCAATGGTGGGGCATCATGGTTCCATCTGGTGTCCTGAAAGACTCCTACCATCTTCTCAGCACTGGATGTATTCCAGTTTTGGAAACCCCAGTAAGAAGAAATGTCATGGACACCAGCAAACAGGTTCCTGAAGTCCCAGATACTGGACACATCCCAGTTTGAAATATCCGTGGAAATACCTTCATCACCCATACCAAGAAGAGGCTCAAAAGCACTTTCAAGGCTCTTCAGCTCAGATGAAAAGCACCAGTTCCCTATAGGCCAACCCAATCGCTGTGCCACCAAGGAGTCTTGACTGCTATCATTAAAGTATGCGAGTATTGCATCCCTTAGTACAATGGTTTGGTCAATACATGATCCATTAGGCAAATCCTGCACGAGTGACCCTGGGCCAGAATCCTGCACAAGTGACCCTTGGGGGGCAGAGCAGTACGGAACATCACAGAAGGACCACCTGGGTCGAGGATGAACAGAACAATGGATTAGCATTTACCTGGCAAGATTGCATAGCTCCAGAGAAGGCAAGACCCTACATACCTAATTTTACTGTCTGTTGTGTAGCACCAAGCCATGGGTTCCCCATCCGGGTTTCGGCTGTAATGAAACAAAGTGGTTGCATTTGAACGTTAGATTTGCTGGCAAGTGTTAAAATGCAACCTCCATTATCGCCACAATAGTGACTTACCAATAGTTTTCTTCCAAGCCAGAGTTGGGGTGGTTTGAAGGTGTCCTGGAGTGCTTATGCGGTAGTTGTGCATCCCAGCGTTGACATGTCACACCACCTACTGTCACATTGATTGTTCCTCTGTAGTCAGCCTGTCTCTGATTGTATGATCCACAAGTCTGAAAACCGTTTTGTATAGGTGTCGTCGATCCAGAGGAATTGCTAATGTTGCCACCACTAACAAGAACTACACCTGTTTCATTTGTCAAGGATACATTGGTGGTGGTAGTGGTGCTGGCTCCACCTCCATCTCCAAGATTTGGGCTGGCAACAAGATCATGGTCATCCTTTTCCCCCTTATTACTGGCAATCACGGCCACCAGAACGATGAGCCCAACAATGGTAATGGCAGCAATCACCAGGAGAAAATGGAAAGTTTTGGCCGTTTTTTCTTGCGGTTTTGCATCGTCTTGAACTGCCACCACCACAACATCTCCGTCATCAGATTTTGCATTGTTCACTCCCTCCTCCACATCGCCATCTGTGACGACAAGCTCAGCCTCGACAAGTTGTGGCGAACCACCCTCACCGTTGGAAGCAGCAATCTCTTGATGATCCTCAGGTAGCGGGCTCACCTCACTAATATTCTGATCCGGCCGAGGGACAAAGCGAATCCTCGATGACAAGACGGCATAGGCACCTGGAGTATCATCGCGGCTACCCGTATTATGTTGAAGGGGCATTGGCTGGATGCCAGCTGCAAGGCCCTCGTGAAAGGCTTGTCTTTCAGGGTCTGACTCTGTGGTAGGACTTTCACCAATGGTGGTAGGTTCAAGGGCGCTTGATGGGACTTTGGATTTCTTGTCCGTTGCATCCGTCGCCTCTTGGCGGAATTCAGCAAGCTTGTCTTCGTTGGTGGTAACAGCACTGATTGAACTCTCTTTCGCTATCTCAGCTTGAGTACGCTCTGAAGGAACCCTTACTGAATCCTTGCCAGGCTCTCTCATATTAACGCAGTCTGATTTCTCATCCGGTGCCTCCGGTCTGCCCTCACTCTCTACGGTTTCCCCGCTTACGGTATCTTCTTTCTTTAGGGCTGCTTCTGTTAGCTGGTCTATCATGGTTAAGAGTTGGATGGCTACCCGATTGATAGGGTGTTGTTCACAATGCTTTGTTGAATGAATCGAATAGAGTATTGAGTTGTTGGATGTTGGATGTTGGGTGCCTCTCTTGGTGTTGGAGCGGGCCTGGTGCGACCAACCTTCCCAGCTGTGCTACCAGTGGATACTGGTACCGGCACAGCCTGCTTTAAGGCCTTTAGAAATCAAAGCGAAGTCCAAATACGCCATTCAAGGAAAGCAATAAATCACTAAATATACGCCAGGATATAACGTGAGAACTAAATGTAATCAAAGCATTAATACTCGTAGGGGCAATGGTGTTTACAATGGTCAAAAAAATCATAATGATGAGACTCCGTCTGGAGCGAACTGGTGAAAACCTATAAAAGACACTCTTCGTCTTTCGGTCAGGTGACACAGGTCAGCCAAGTTCGTGGTTCCCCTTATTACAAGAAAAAAGAAACGTCCATGGCCAATGGCCAAAGTTTTCGTGATTGTACAGTACTGGTACCGGTACGGACCATGGTACGCTCTCCATCCCCACATAGGTACTGGTACCAAACTCGCATATAAAACGTACTACACTGAGCCACCAATGCTGCCAGCATCCCTTTCACATGGGAAAACATCAAAGAGGTATTGCAATATATATCTTTTTCTACACCTTATTATTCAGAAAAGGCAGGTACCCGTACCGGTACTTGCCCTTGCCACATCTTTTGGTTGCTCGTCAAAAAGGGTGAGCGAAATAGGACGTACATGTTTCACAGCGCTACCTCACAACTAATAGTAGAAGGAAATAGATAATGCAGCCAGTTACTTGATTGGTATGCAGATGCATAGTTGATCAGGAGGTAAAAAGCTCAAACTTTTCTAATGGTACTAGTACTTACATGTCCTTCTGCCCACTGCCCATAAATTAATGTAGACTATAGCTAGTACGATAGTCTACATCCACGCAATCGGAAATGAATGCAGATCTATTAGTCTACTACGGCTTCTTTACTACTGCTCAGTAGCTAGCCCTCGTATCTTTTTATCTTCATGCGAGGGATGACTGTCAGAAAGTCAGATAGTCACAGAACAGGCGCAAGGCCCTAAATCCTTTCCAATTCTACTTGGAAACAATGTCAAGTCGCCAAAGACCAAAGAACGGAAAGCCAATAATTATTTTGTTCCTTCACCCCCATTCCCGGTGACTTACACTCCTCACTCATACTTAAGATAAGTGGGTTTAAGACACCGAGTACTCAACTTTTCAGAAATGTTTAGATAACCCGGACACACAGATTTCCCGAACCAGGAAGATAAGCTATGAGTACTCAATCCCTAAGCAAATACTAATACTATGTGGGGACTGAATGCAGCTAGTACCCATTATCTTCCATATCACCATCTACATCCAAGTACTCCATATCCACATCTTAGGGTGCCTCTCTACCACAACATCTTTGGTTTCATCAATTTTGGCTTTGCACATTTGCCTTTTATGGCTTTGGTGGTGGCTCCTCGCTGTCTGAGGGCATGGTTAGTAGTAGGGGTATGTGACAATAGCTGCTAGTGGCAATAAGATTTGAAAGATACTGAGATTGTGCTGCTTGCAAGATAACAACTCAGTGTTGTTGTGGCTGAATCGGCCTGCAGTACTAGACAAAAATAGAGTTATCTTATTGATGAGGTAGGAGTGTACATGAACTTCGTACCGGATCTGTTGTACATGTACAGTACTAAAATACGGTGTTCAGGCCTGTCCGTAGGTAACTGACCGTAGTACACGCGATATTGCGACTCGTGACTCGTCCCTACTAGTAACAGAACAGATTGCCCTCAACTACCAGCTAGCAAGCTGAGGGCCTTTCGAACTTTATCTTGTGTGTGTGTGTGTGTAGGTGTGTGTAGGTGTGTGTACGTTGAGTGTTGTGTGAGATGTGTGATGTTGTGTGAGATGTGTGTAGACACTACTAAGAGTTAATCTACGACGAATCTACCATTTGGATGTTTATCCATGGGGTATACCGTTGCTTGCTGATTTCCAAATTCTGAGCTTAAGAATTTCGCTGTTTGCTTCATCAGTGGAGCAAGCTGGGGATGGCAAAAGATACAAGCCGGGTAGGCTGTGAGAAAAGCAAGGGTACCCTGTTTGTGGTGATTTTGAAATAGACACATAGGAGCTGGTACGGTATAGACCGAAACCAAGCTAAACTAAACCGTAAATCCAATACCTCGATGGGCTGGATGTGTGTGTGTGTGTGTGTGTGTGTGTGTGTCGCGTACATATGGTGCTGTTGCCCTTGCAAGGTTAAGGCTACCGGTGCTGTCGCGTACATAGGTCAGTTTCCTTCAAGGTTAAGGCTAGCGGTCAAACCAGAACCCTTCCGTTCCTTGCTTTTAGAAAAATGCTGTCCTCTTGTGCGTGTGCGTGTGTGTGTGTGTGTGTGTGTCGCGTACATATGGTCCGGTTTCCCTTGCAAGGTTAAGGCTAGCGAGCAAACCAGATACCGGTACATATGGTGCGGTTTCCCTTGCAAGGTTAAGGCTAGCGATCAAACCAGATACCCTTGCAAGGTTAAGGCTAGCGAACACTTCCTTGGCCTTTAGAAAAATGCAAGTTGAGGGCACTAGCCTCTGGCTGGCTGTCCTCTTTAAATATAGGAAGCCAGTGAAGCTGATCAAAACGACTTTGGCCTTGAAACACAAAAAGCGAAGAATGAGCGAAAATTGAGACCACGTCCTGACCATGACATCCCATCCTGATGATGATTCTCCCAAGAAGAAGAACACGCCTGTCGCACTGATTGTAGGCGCAGGAGCTGGGATTGGTGGTGCTGTGGCGGAACGCTTTGCTTCTGGAGGCTATCATGTCTGTTTGTGTCGCCGATCCAACGCCAGCGCCCTGCAAGATGCCGTCACGAAGATTCGTGCAGCTGGCGCATGCGCCTCGGGATTTTTAATGGATGCCTCCAAGCCCGACACTATGGAAGACATGATTGCGGAAATCGAAAGTACCATTGGTCCCATTCAAGTAGCCGTGTACAATTTGGGAGCTCAAATTGGACACAAGAGTCTTGTGGAAACTTCGCACAAAACTTTCGAATTGGGATGGCGATTGGGGACCTTTGGCTTGTTTCGATTGGCCAAGTGTCTTTTGCCTCGCATGGTGCAACGCCACAATGGAACCTTGTTGGTGACCAGTGCCACGGCGGCCGTTCGAGGCAATCCGGGACAACACTCGCATGCTGCCGCCATGGGAGGGAGACGTCTTTTGTGTCAATCACTGAATGCCGAATACGCTCATGAAGGAATTCATGTGGTTCACATTGTGGTGGATGGACCCGTCCTTGCACCCGATACATTGGGGAAAATGCTAGGTCCACAGAAATTTGCTGCCCTTCAGTCCAGTCGTCTCTTGATTGATCCCAAGGCGGTAGCAGAGACGTATTGGCATCTAGCGCATCAACCTCCTTCGGCGAGAACGTTCGAGCTGGATCTACGAAGTCAACAGGATGTGCCTTGGTGGAATTCAATATCAGCAATCAGTAAACTGTGAGAAGGTTCTTCCGAAAAGACTAATGTGTTATAGGTTGCCCTCCAAAGATTCAGATGGATTCCGAAAATCAAACATCCGACAACTTGAGAATCCAATAAGTCCATGGAAAACCCTTTGGACAACCACCATCCAGACAGAGTCAAGCAACTCACTGCTGGTATATAGCTCCCGTACGAACAAGGAGTCAAGGGTCCAACAAACATCTTGCCCCAATCCAAAACTAGAAAGAGGGTGTGCCGCAGAGAACACTATCATGTCCAGAATGAGCGGATGATGACTACGGAAACTATTCTTCCAGCTAGCAACAGAAATTGGACACCATTCCCTACCGGTATGTGCATGGGTTTTAGGTATCTAAACCACATTTTGCGTTTGTCTGGGAAGTAAAGTTTGAGCCATATTAGGTAGACGAAAGGTCAATACCGTTCCGGATCTTTGGTTCTCCAGGGGACTGCTGTGTGCTTTGTCCTGCTTCTCTCGACAGCACCGCGTGTCAAGTCCATTGGGGATAGTCGCGACATTGCTTGCGTCTGTTGCAATAGTTTAGAGAACACAATCATAATTCGGCTTCGGAGATCCAATCCATTGTACCAGACCAGTGCCTGTATCATGTGTCCCTAGAACCTCCAAAAATGGAGCATAAAAAATCCTGCAAAATTTCAGATTCAATGATTTGATTCAAAAGCAAAATGAAGGGTGAGAAAATGAGAACCATGACCATGGCAAACCTCCCGTTGGTGCTGAGGAGATTGTGAGTGTGAAAGGACCGGACCAGGTTTTTTTCTTGGGATTTGCATGATCAATTTTAAAGAGATGTGTTGGGTCATGACAGCAACGGCACAATAAAGGCGGCGCTCACAACACGCTCTTTCCAAAATCCCTTGTACGTGGTTGATCGTGGCTTCCTGAAAGTATTCACTCACCAATATCAATTATTGGAAGGAAGTAGAGGAGCAAACTATTTCACTGATGGACTAAGTCATGCTGTCATGGGTATCCACATCTCACCCGAGTCGGGTGGAGTGCGTAGTAGTCTTTCGTTCGTTCGTCCGTTTTATCTTCAGCTTCCATCTCTTTTTATCCGAAACAACTACCCGGTAGCTACCGGTAGTAGCCAAGCGGTAGAGTGCTCATCATGAGAAAATGAGAGGTTGTTGCAGGGCGTTTTCACAATCGGTGATAGGACCGGTAGCATGGCCGGAAGGCTCTTGAAAGGTGAGGTTGTGACGAGGTGAGATGAGGCGAGGTGAGGTGAGGTTATTGGGTTGGTTTTTCAGCGGTTTTGGTGACTTGAAAGAAGAAAGTCCTTGTCCGTTGAAAGTTTCAAGACCCAACAAAGGAAACCCTTTTCTCAGTACGACACTCCTCCGACCTTCCCATCTTCTAGAAGCGATCAAATAACATCATTTTATGACGCTTCAGCTTCATTAAAACTGCTGGTACGTGTACATTCTGAAGATAATAGAGAACTGAATGCATGATTTCTTGAAAGTTGGCAAGGGGCTCCAGTTGACGAACATTGTGCAGACAGCAGGTCCACACAACCCGAGATCGCGGATGTGTGTTCGGACAGTAAAACCGCGGGAGTTAGTGTGGGGTCCCAGATAAATTGGTTATGAGCCTCTCAAGCACCACCATAAAGTAGATTGATAGGCAAACTCAAGGAGCTTGATGGTAGTCCCTGCAATCTCTGTTTTTGGAACTATGCATCATCTTGTAGACGGCTGGATGTGTGTCTATTACGATGCTTGCTTTTGCTTCCTTGATCCCACTTTCTCGTTTTCTAAAGAAAGATTTTGTATGGTATGTAGTGTTGTTGACGCCTTTCTTCATTCGCTTGGCTGTGTTTCGTGCATAGCGGAAGATCCTTTTCTCTCAAAGGATGTATGGAGTCCGGTTGTTGTGCACTTCCATCCAAGTTGTTTCTCTATTTGCACACCGAGCTATCACGATGGTTCCATCTCTGCCAGGCAGCCATAACTCCATAGCTCCGGTACACTGGACCACCTTGGTTGATACCGATACCTGTCCGTGTACAGTCAAATATTTTTCACATCTACTGTATGTTGACACCCACATCGATTGATCTCGCCCAGATGGTTAGCATTCCTCGAGTCATCCTCCGATCAAGGTGACACTTCCCCAAGATCCCATGATGCCCGCGATAATGCTGCATGCAAAACCTATGGCTGGCTTTTTGTGAAAATATGGTTGTGATGGTTGCCTCGGTGGTTGGTGGCAACCATACTGTGCAAAGCATTTACATTTTACTGTACATACTCGTGTACTCGACATACTGTATTAATACTCCAAACAGCTTCCACACAGCTCGTTATGTTTCTGTGCATAAATATCATATGCTTCCCGGTACCCGACAGGGGGTCAACAGCACCACAATGTAGCTAGCCAGTCTAGTCTTGGTTTGCTAGTGACTCAATCAAGGAAGAAGGGGAAAAAAACAAAAGTCCTCTGCATCAACAGCAAACAGTGTTGTTGTTGTTGTTGCCATCTCCTTGTGATTACTACTAGCTAGTAGTGGTCATACCATCTACCACTACTCCACAAGAAGAAGCTGCTTGATTCAAAGTGCTTCCACTGTAAAGGTCAAATTCTGATCTGTACTGTATTGCATACTGTTTGATCAATGTAGTTTCCTGCTGCTGCCCATACCGTTTACGGTTCATCGTGGGAACAATTTACTGTTTTCCGTTTACTGTTTACCGTGCATACATTGACTTGTTCAAAAGAGGACAATATCTGTGTACGATATATGGTTTACGGTTTTACAAATTAAAGTTGATTTACGATATACGATAAACGGTATCCTCCCTCCTGCAATGTCTCCAAAGAAGCAAGGCACAACCCAAAGCCACAGCAGATAAACGGTAAACGGTAAACAGTACACAAAATAATTGAAACGGTACACGGTAAACTGTGTTGAATTCTCTTTACAAAAATATCAAAGAGAAAAACTGCGGTAAACAGTATACCGTTTGGGCTGACCACATGTGCACATTGTGTACCGTATACCGTATCCGCCACCTCATTGGTGATGACTGAATTTTTAGGCAGAAGTGGGTGGGCCTGCTACATTGTGGTGCTGTTGACCCACTGTCAGTACCAATACAGTACCACATTGACCATTGACAAAGAGACCTACTAGGCTTTTCAGCATTAGAGTGGAGTGGGATCAGAAAACTTGTCTTAAATCCATTCATCTTCAGTGTCCACAAGAGATATACGTGAAATAATTGCGCACTTCGGAGTTCGGAGTACTATTACCAGTAATAGACTAGTCTATGGACAACGTAACGGACACACAACTCTTTACTGTAAAAGGTGCATTGCCCCTGGTTGCTGGTTGGTACGCCTGGTGGGAGAGCCCCTGAAACGCACGCGGTTGTATTATACGTATAACATTTTCACTATGTATTCTACAAATTATACGTATTACACATATAACATTTTTAATATGTATTAAACAAGTTATACGTATAACACAAATAACACAAGTGGAACAATATTATACGTATTACATGTATTATGTGTTGTACGTATTTGACGTATTACATGTATTATGTGTTATACGTATTTTACGTATAATACACAGCGACGAATTTTTGC